AAATAACTGAAAATATCCAAAACAGATAGAATTATCTCATCTGAGTCAGGTTTTACACTCTACTTTCACTTTCATTTTCTTGTTTTTGGCTGAAGATTTCCGAAAGGGGGAAATAACTCTTGAAAAAAAAGTGTGTAAATTTAGAGATTTTTCCAAACTTTACAATCAATTTATTTTCTTAAATTAAATATTACTATTCCATTTTTTTTTAATTTGTTCTTAATAATTGTTTAGGGTAGAATTTAAAACATCAAAATATTTAACCAGTTCCTGCATTTTTGTGCACACTGTTATGTTTTCCCGCCTTTTTAAAAGCAGTTTTTGATATTATTTGACCATTTATTGGCAGGTATAGGATTTTGTTTTCAGTTTTCTTGTATAGAAAATACAATTTACAAATTATTTTAAAGGAAACAAGATGTGTTCGTGAAACACTGATGCCCCCGTATGGCAGCTTATGGTGAAGGTTAAAGTTTCTCAAATGCAAGTCAAAATCCAGGCCAAAAGATAAAAAAATGTTAAATTTGAAAGCCCTAGCTGCAACTGTTCAGAAGTTATGGCCAAGGTTAATGTTTTTTAAAAGTAAGTAAAACATCAAGGTCAAGGTCAAAGTTGTTGGTATCCAAAGGAAGGTCTTGTCACAAGAATTACATATGTGAAGTATGAGAGCCCTAGCACCAACCATTCAAAAGTTATGGCCAAGGTTAAAGTTTTTCGAAAGTAGGTCAAACTCCTATGTCAATCTCAAAGGTCCAAAGTGGTTGGTATCCAAAAGAAGGTCTTGTCACAAGGATTACATATGTGAAGTATGAAAGCCCTAGCACCAACCATTCAAAATTTATGGCCAAGGTTAAAGTTTTTCAGAAGTAGGTCAAACTCCTAGGTCAAGGTCAAAGGGTCAAAGAGGTTGATATCCAGAGGAAGGTCTTGTCACAAGGAATACACATGTGAAGTTTGAAACCCCAATCACCAACTGTTCAAACGTTATGGCCAAGGTTAAAGTTTTTCAGAAGTAGGTCAAACTCCAAGGTCAAGGTCAAAAGGTCAAAGTTGTTGGTATCCAAAGGAAGGCCTTGTCACAGAGAATACACAAGTGAAGTTTGTAACCCCAAGCACCAACTGTTCAGAAGTTATGGCCAAGGTTAAAGTCTCATAAAATTTTGCAAAAGTGGGTCAAACTCCAAGGTCAAGGTCAAAAGGTCAAATACGATGGTACCCAAAGAAAGGTCTTGTCACAAGAAATACACATGTGAAATATGAAAGTCATAGCTCCAACCAATCAAAAGTTATGGGCAAGGTTAAAGTTGACAACAGACAGACAGACAAACAGATAAACAGACAAACAGATAAACAGACAAACAGATAAACAGATAAACAGACAGACAGGACAAAAACAATATACCCCCCGGGATCTTTCGATCCGGGGGCATAAAAATTCATAATAGTATTCTATATCAATTATATATATATTAATGGGGTGAAATGAGTGGTATTTTCCACCAATGTATGAGAAAAGGTGACCTGTTGTCATGGAAGCAAGACCAATTGATCATTTCCAACAATATTTTTGTAAAATGGGCTTATAATGTAATTTTTTCACCACGTTTCAACAAAATTGTTGAGGGTCAATTTCCAACCCATTTTGATGCCTACAGAGAATGACTTTTATAATACTTATGATACTGTTAACAACCAACTAGAATAGTCAAACAGTGACTGCAGTATAAAATACTTATAATACTGTAAACAACCGTTTATAGAAGTCTAACAATGACTACGGTAGAAAAACAGTGAATAAAGTAGACAACAGTGTATTCCATAGACAATCAGTGACAGCAATAGAGAAACAGTAACTACAATAGACAAACATTGACTTAAATAGACAAACATAGTGAATACACCAGACAAACAGTGACTATATTAAACAAACAGTGACAACAGTAGACAAACAATGACAATAGTTAACAAACTATGAATACAAACTCTGAAGACAAATAGTGACTACAATTGATAAACAGTAAGAGCAATGGAAAAAAGTGGCAACAATAGACAAACAGTGACTACAATACACAAACAGTAACAACAATAGAAAGTAACTATAGCAGAGAAACGGTGACAACGGTAAACAAACATTACTAAAGAAAACAGACAGAGACTAAAGAAGACAGTGACTACAGTGTTGCCGTTCAGGAGTTTTCTCCCTTATGCAACTTGTGGGTCTCCCAAGTCTGTATATTGGACAAAAGAACTCGAAGACAGGATTAAAGAGTATAAAAATTTATTATTGCTTGTTGTAATTAATTGGCCTAATCTCTTTGATTATCCCTATTTCTTGCTCCCGTAGAAATATTATTTCTCTTCCAATTAGAAATGGGAATAAAATATTCTCAAATGGGAGAATTAAGTTTTAGGGAATTATAAATAAATTTACAAAAGTATAAAAGTATTTCCTCAAAATACTGGGAGTCCCTTCACAATACAATCGATAGTTATGGGAGAGTTATTGCACCTCCCACTAATTTTCTCCCACAGAACAATTCAATATAATTATTAAAAGTAAAAATAAAATATTATCCCATAATTCATCAGCTCCCACTAATTAATTAATGTTCAATAGTAATTACCCAGCGGCTCTCGCTCCCAGACATGCTGGCGATACGAGTTGTAACAGCCGAAGTGACAAACTTACAAACTGACTAGTCGATCGATCTGCGCTGGCTTATATAGATATCGGGTTCGATTGTCGTGACGTCACGACAAAGTGAAAATACCCACCATCTTTGTCATATCAAAGAAGGTTTGATATGCTGCCATGCCGATCGAATCGACGAATGGAAACACGCACCCTAGGGCGCGGATAATTACTGTTTGGTACATTTGGGACTTGTGCTGATGTTTATGTTCGTAAACATAAACAAAAGCAATCGTAAACAGTTAAAGGGTGACTTGGGAATGTAAGATGTTGAGGAATTTCGGGGTAACGCTAATTACCGACCTCGTCCCAATAGGGTCTGTAAGTCTCGTCACGTGACTCGCGAGATTTTTCGATAATATTAACTTCCGGGTACCTCACACATGGAGATGTGTATTGGGTTACACATGTTTATGGTTTACACAAAGCGTACAAGGAAAGATTAAGCAGTTGTACAAAGCCGAAGGGTTCTCCGACGTACGATGGATGAATTGAGTGTCATAAAAGCTTGGATGCGAGCATCCAAGAGGAGAATTTCGATCGAAGTACAGGTAAACAAGTCGGAGAATGTCACCTGTTTCTTGTGTATTCTTGGGGGGAATCGAAGTGTCTTGAATCATACCTGGATGGAATAGTTTTGTAATCACAATTCCAATTAATTTATCAACAGATTTTTCTTGAATTCGAGAACAATGATGTTAATACCAGCTGATAAAAGAGGAATAGTGTAAGTGCCCGATGGGTACGAACGTCATCATCTTTGTTTGGGTAAATAATTTGTTCAGAATACGCTTCATTTATCAACAGAATTTTAGCTGTTGCGTGCCAGTGAGTCTAGTCTTAAACATTCAATGTTTGATAGAACATATTTCCCAAGGATAGATTTTCTTTATAAATTCTGCCAATTCTCTCTGTATTTATCATTGAACAAAATTCACATGACTGCAACAATATGACCATATTCTTCAGTTTAGAGAGCATGTTGCAGAGGAGATTTTGGTTAAAGTTTCAGTCTGTTAAGGTTTCAGTCTGTTTCAGTGTTTGAAATATTCTTTCATCTTACACAATTGTATACATTAAGATTCATTTTATAGCTAAAGTACAAGAGAACTGCAGCACCGAAGACTACATGTACATCGATTTGAATAATCTGTATCGTTAAAAGGCAAATCAAATACAGGTATGAAATAATGTCACAAAATAAGTTCTTGGACTTACATTTACTCTGATAATACACATAAAGCATATCAAAAATTGTAAAGAATTATAGGTACATCAGGTGACAACTCAATCAAGTAGGGAATATTATTAACGCTGAGTTTCCAATTGTCAAAAGGGTATTCAATATATTCAATACAAGTTGTCAATCATTTATAAGTGATTTGTCCAGTGGTGCTTAACTTTTCTCCCACAGGTTTTTACACATTCAACCATCATTTATCTATACTGTATTTCTGGACTTTTTTTGTTGGAAGATGTAAGATTTTTGAAGTTCTTTATGATTTGGACACTTTTTCTTGATCCAGTAGATGCTTTTTTTTTCTTAATTAACATGACACTGACAAATATTGGACCCCCATAACTTGAATGAATTGTCATTTCTTGTGAGGGTGATGTAGTTGTAATTAGTATAGATCTATGCTGAGAAGAAAGAAATCTATGAAACCATGCAGTTTTTTGTACTTGTTTGTACTTGTTTTTTTTTATAACTTGTATTTTTTCAAGTAAAAAAAAGGCACAGTAGCATAGTGGTTTTCTACTGAGAAACCAAGGTTCATTACACAGTATTGGTGTAATGTTGTTACACCTGAATATGTTATAACCTGATGCATTTGGCTCAGGCAAAAGGGTACTTGTGCATCTAAGGAGTTGATCAATGATGGGTCTAATCAATATTCACAAATGTCACATATGCATATAACCAACATGTCAGCGATGTATATGATATATCTCTCAAGAAACATCAAAGTGTAAAAAAAAACACCATTGGACAAATTTTTCTATGCATCTGAATCATTTACAGTGTATAACACTAAAATTGAATTTAAAAATTAGGCTAACAATAATGTCAAAGAACAATATAGTCTTTAACACATAAGTACAATTTTGCATTCATTCGTCTATTCACTCTATTGTATTAAATGAGGTTCATTAACATATAAATGCTGTTTACATTGTTTTACTGTCTTTAATAACTTGTAATACTAAATTTTATAACTTGACAAATTCTTCTTTTTAGAAAATGCATATAATTTGGAAAAGAGACCACCAATCCACTGGGGGGTATCGGATGAAAGCATTTGTATTACAGAATATTGTAAAGCTGGACGAGTTATAGTGAAACAGGTAGGCAAGTACTTTGTTCTTGGAATTTTTCGCCCCAGTTAAGTTTTATTTTTCTCATTCGGCCCTCATTACAAGTAGGTGAATTTAAAGTGGGGCAAATTCAAAGAAGGCAGCATATATCTTTTAAACACAAATGTACTTCGTCAAATTTTAAAAGGGCAAAATTGTTTTCAAGAGTGAAAGAGTGAATATATTAAAAATTAAAATGGGGTGAAAATACCCAATAATACAGGTTATATGTATTTATGTATTAACACAGTATATTCTTTATAATGAAAATAATTTGTTCTGTAAAAGGACAAATTTTGTTCTGATTTGTATTTAATAAAAAAATAAATGCCAGATTTATAACATATTTTGCAGGCACCTAAATTACCCTCAGTTGTGTGTCAAGCTGTGCAAAAATTCTATGTCATATTACAGAATCTTTTAAATACAGGTATATGTCTGCTCATCTGGCAATCTTTGGACATCACTGGATGGTACTTCCAGCATGAAGACCAGCTAGTTGCCTCACCTGTCTTGACATTGTTAAAGGTAAGTGACCCTTTCAGAAAAGGATCTGACAATGCAAAGGCTTGCTCATCAATTAAAGATTTCTATTTACCAATAGCTAATTAATTTGAATTTCTGTAGCTTAAAAATTTAATGATATGAATTAAAAAAAAATATTTTAATCAAAATTATTTTTATTTCAGTACTTTGAGACAGTGAAAAGACATGGCTCTAAATTACTGCATCAGAGATCTATCCAGTTAGTAAATCTGAGGAAAACAATAAAGCATCATTTGGAGCTACTTATATCACTGTCTTAACGAGTTGTCTGCAGACGGGGCATCCTTAAAAACTTCAGTCGCACTCGTCACTTAGAATAGAAAACTTCATAATTTTATTACTTTTGTATCAATCCTTTTGCACTTCATCTGACTTGGAATTTCAGTAGCCTTTACATGTAACATCCTTCAAGCATTTCATGAAGTACCAATTTGTAGGTGTAAAATGTTTGTCCCAAATGAAACAAAAAAAAAATTCTCTGGCAGTTAGCAGTGTCATGAGCAGTTGATTGATGTCACAGTTCCACTGGCATAGTATTTGTAGTTGAATGGTGCCATTTTTAAGAAAACTTTTCACAAAAACCTGGAAAACATCAGATGGAAAGGAGCATCTACAAGAAAACAGTGAACACTTTCTTGAATATTAACAATGATATATCATGCCCCATATACATCCTTTATATAAACTAATTAACCAAATCATCGAGAATTATATACAAATTTGTCCTTTTGTGTATTTATAGTGTATTAAATTGATTTTACTAATTTATAAATATTTATGTTTTTCGCAGTCATTAATATTTACAAATTGAAGTACATATAACATAAAAATATTACATGTTTATTAGGATAACATGAAATTGTTATTCCTCAAAAACCATCGCTGACCGAGGCGAACAATGGTTTTCAAGGGGTAACAATTTCACATTACCCAAAATAAACAAATAATATTTTTCTTGTTTTAGAATGCATTTGAAAGAAAACATCAAGGTGAAACGAATGTGCAAACATTCTGCACAGCCAACAATCTTTATTACTATATATTTACATTTCCAATATCTTTGTCCGAGATAAAATTTCAAAGAGTAAAAATACTTTATTTCTACATCAATCTACTGGTTCATCCATAGGCGTGGTGAAAAAAAAAATATCACGTGCGGAGCGGGACAAATAGAGACAGAAGCGGGGCTTGAAGCACGTGAATTTGCAGGATCAAGAGCATGTATATATATGGAATAACTGTCAGATTTTTTGGTTTCATGACGATGATCAATCAATTGGCTTGCGTCATAATTTTATGTATAAACGCCTTCGGCGTTTATGAAAATTATCACGCAAGCCACTCGATTGATCACATCATGATACCAAAAAATTAGACAGTTATTCCTTAAATATACTGTTACCCTTAGTCATGCATTTTCAACCATTGGGATGTAATGTTTGGCATGCAGTAGGGTAATAGTACTTGTTAACAAATGTTTTTAAACCAAATTTGACTATTTAACAGGAAAGTATATGAAAAATTTAACTAGCATTATGGTGATGAGAATAACCATGGTATGTGAGCTTGTGTGAACTTGATCCTGAATTATTATGTTTTGAATATTGTAAAAGAAATGTGCAGCCAAAACTTTGACCTGTACCTGATTTAGATGGAGCCTTCTTGGAAGTTGTCACACTGTTTACGAGTGTAATAACTGGGATCTGCTTCATTTGCAGATACATGGATAACACATTCACTCAAAGCACTGTCCCTTTTTCAGTACCTTGTGCAGCCCTGTAATATATAATGACATATGGAGAAAAATTCTATTTCAAGAAAAATATCTGTCATAATTGTAGGAGTATTGGAAAGGGGGGAAGGGTGTCATGAAGCTTGGCAGTTAATATGTGTACATGAAAAAAATACCTTCATTTTTGTAGAATAAAAAAAGATATTTTTTTTAGTGTGTGTGACTATTTTTATTTCTGGATAGACCATGTAGAAAGGGTAGACTACAGAATGAGCTGTCCATTTTTATTCATTGTAGTAATCAAATTAAAAAAAAATAGAATGTGTTCTCTACAAGAATCATGTGTTATCGACGTGGTAATCAACTTTGTATTCCCATGGTCGATGCATTCCCGATCCATCTCATGCACACCTATCCAATACTCCAAAATAGACCCTTGTAAGCTAAATCAATGCAGTAAATTTCTGAAACCAATCTGTAGATAAGCTTACCTTTTGAATACAGACTATTTTAGCATTAAAACGATTTAATTTTCCCTTTATGCTTAAGTATGTTGGCTAATCTTGGTCCGCTCAGAATGGCTTGTGTTTACGTCATGTAATGAAAAAATAAAGCAATTAAACGCTATTTACCTGCATCTATCAATCCATTTTCTCCTCTTCTTTGCAACAATCGGGAACCAAAACAAACTACAAGTTTTATAATTCCACTGCGATGCTTACAACTTAAAGCGAAACAGTAATCCATTGTCTCCAAGAACGCTCAGGTACCCGGAAGTTTAAAAACGAAAGTGAAAGTAAACGAGACTTACAGGCCCTATGATGAACATGGTAAATATACAATCGATGAAAAAATAAAACATACAATTAATAAAACATCATTTGTCGTTTTATAGTCCAATATGTTACAGGGAGTATTGTTCAACTTGTACTGTGTTTTTTGTAAGCCAATGAAACCAAAATGTTTGCAAAGAGTTTATTTACTGAAAGTTGTGATTCGTACAGATGATCGTATAGTGGCTCTCCCGAAGAGCGCCGTAGATCGTATTTTATAATGTACAATACATAATACTCATTTACGTATGAAATAGACAAATCAGATTCAAGTAAACAAGTTATTCAATAAATTTGTACAAAATCCTGGAATTTTATAAAATAAATTGTAATTGAAACATAAACTTTAATAAGCTTCAGTCCAACGTCCTAGTATTGTGCAAAAGTTAATATAATGTTAATATAATTTTTAGCAATTTTCCGTTACTGTTCTTGCATCGTCGTCCCAAGATAGATAAACATCCTGGTAGATTACATTGTCCTTAATCCGATTACCAGGTTTGTTTATTCTTACGGAAAAGTCTTACACTTTCATATCCCGATTGAATTATAGGTCAATGCACTCTATCCTAAGTACATTGTAAATAGTTTAATATGTTTATTTTCTGATTAAAATAATTGTCTCAAACCCTATAGGTTTACATTTTCCACAGTAAGTGTTTCCCATAGTAGTGGGAATAAATAGGGAACCGTAACACGGCCCCCTCCCATGTGAAGAACATTCGTCCTCGAATGGTTTTATACTTCAGTTCAGGGAGTTAAAAGGTGGTTACAAGTTGTCTATTGATCCCTTGGTTTTTGGCACAAAACGACTTGCATTAAAAGTGCATACTTTATAAATGGACAATAAATTGATATGTACATCATTTATAACATTCAATAGTTAACAAAGATATATGATCAAACAAATAAGTTGTCGATATATGAAACATGCAAAACAACATTCACTATATATATATATATATATATATATATATATATATATATATATATATATATATATATATATATATATATATATATATATATATATATATATATATATATAATGCGTAATCTTTCCCCAGGTAATGCTTATCAAATGCTTTTGCTTTAATCAACATGGAAGGTAAATGCACTGGATGATTAACGTGGAAAAGCTGTAAAAATGGTGGACATAGGAGTCTCAAAAATTGTGGATGGTGCAAATGCCCCGATGGCTGGATTGGGCGGTATTGCCAGAATCCAAAAAACCCTAGTAAGACTGAATTGCCACTTCTGGCAAAACCTAGTCAATGAAAATAGTATTTTTAAAATAAAAAAAAGTCTTTTATATTAATTTACTTTCTCTTTACTAAAACAATTTTTGACACAAATGGAACAAAAAAAAATGTACGCAAAGTAAATGTTTTGTCGAAACAATAAGGATGATAACAATTTTATTCGACAATCTTTTCTCACGAAAAAATAAGTTTTGGAAATAAACTCTCACTTCTCTAATACTACCCAACATATAGGATGAAGTCCGTAAACTATTTTTTGATTTCATTCGGGTAGTAATTATCCTTAATTTAATTAAAAGTCTATTTTCGTTTGCTATAAACAGCCGTGAAAAAGCGAAAGAAGATTGTACGGTGCTGGTAAGGGTTGCAAGATTTTTAGTTACGGGCAATCTTTAATGAAGCTGAAAACAAGTATTCTTTTAAGTAATTGATTAAACGTCATTGCTGATTTTTTCAATCAAATTTTGATTTAAGTGATATAGAAGAAATAAGCTGTGATAACTGATGAAAAAAAGCAGAATATACCAATCGTTCTCGTCAGCCCACGATCTCAGTTTTGATGAAGATTTCTGGAATGTCATATGACATCAAACCTGTGTTTTAAGAGATACATGAATATAGAAAACAGTTTTATGTGAATAGGCATGGAAATAATGGTGAAGCAATTGTCAACGCTATAAAAAGTGAATATATATTTTTTTTTTATGTAGAATTACTATCAGTAAATTCTGCTAATAAATTATCAGAAAAATGTGCATATTTGGCACTGAGAGCATCATGGCAACAAACCCAAAGTACAGTGTTTATACTAAATTTGCTTACATGTAAAGAAAAAATGTTAATTAATGAATGTGATATTGTTCAAATAAATGAAGTAAAAGTGGTGAATTGAAAGATTTCAAAGTTTCTTAATGCATTAGGGCGCAAAAGCTTAAGAATCCAGTATAGGTAGGGTAGATCGAACTCACCTTGCTTGACAAGAATGTTAAAAGTGTTAAACACTGATATGTGAAAGTGAACTCTAGGTACAAGTTTAATTTATCTACATGTAACGAGATGAGGTCAATTGATGAAATTGGTATTTTTCAATTTTTTTAAACAAAAAAGGGGGTGATGGTGTTTGTCAGGGGCGGGGGGTTGGGGTTGGGTTGTACGAGTATATATGTACTCCTCTTCCTTTAATTGACTACGGAATTTTTAATAAAATTCTTCCTTCTATAAGACTATTTTTAGCTGTCGGTAGAAAGATATGTTAAGATATATTATTGGAATTGTTCCGTTAGCAGTGGTAAATTCAATTCCACGCTCTTGCGCTGGATTTCATCAAGTGGTTTAAAAATGTACAATGAATGATTTTAAATATGTTATCTAAATATTGACACAATTTCCAGTCAACACTTTCAAAGAAATCAGTATTATGACAAACATGCTCTATTCAAACTTTGTCTAAGTTAAGTCAATTCAATTTTAACATTTCCTCCCAACAATAATAGTATACAACCAATGCAGAATGTACCTGGAGGATTACGGTAAGTTGTCCTCACTTGCTGAAAGAAAACGTCATTCCGTTTATTGTGATTCGATATGGTTACATTTTAAATTCATTTTTAAGTCAACATTAGTGAAATACAGAAAATAAAATACCTGTTGCGAAATTATGGTCCATTTTCTACAGTTATTCATATAAATGAGAGTATTTTTAGGCCCTTTCCTAATTCTATATGCCATATTGAATTGATATATATATATATATATATATATATATATATATATATATATATATATATATATATATATATATATTCACAGCTTATTAAAACATATTTGCATGGGTTTTTTGATTTATGAAAATTATATGCTTCATCTCAATATTATCACACAACGCTTGGGCCAAACAAAAAAATATGTGTGGTTCCGGTTACACATCCAAAACAATTAGGGTAGGTAGGTAGGGAACTTTTTTTTTTTTTTTTTTTTTTTTTTTTTTTTTTTTTTTAGCAAAATGATTTTCTTAATTTTTTCTTTAGAAATAATACCTATCACTGCTTTGCAAATGGCATTTAGATGTGGTGTGATAATATACTAGTCAATATTGGTAGGGGACACCTACATGCTAGTTTGCTTTGGATTTAACACATTAAACTATGTTTTGCAAGGAGGCCGTCATTGCTGAAACTAAAACTTAAACTGGAGTCACTGATGGAAATCGGGGAAAATTCTGGAAAAAATATGAAAATTGCCCAAAAAAAAAGTTTAGGGTCGGAGGTATAAAATAGGGAAGGTCGGGTAACCGGAACCACACATATTTTTTTATTTGGCCTTAATTAAATGGTAGTTAATTAGATATAGTCCATGGGTGTCATTGTAAACAAGGACAATGTAAGAATATATTAAAAATATGAAATGATGTATTCAAAAATGAACATTAATACTTTCCAGGCACCACCGGGAAAACGCCTTCCGAAGACTAGAATTCGTTGGATCCTTTAATATTGCTTGCAACAGTAGGTGTTTGTTTTTCGTAGAGGTTCGCTTCAGAAGTCTCTCAAACACAGGACAAAGGTATATGCATCTCTAATTCCTACATACTTCAATTGCTTCTGTTTAAAATCTAGAATAGCATCATAATAATTTTACAATTCCCCTTCAATTACCTTCCGTTGTTTCAATATGTTGGTTGATTACCCAATATCAACAAATTCTGCACATTGTCATCTTGCGTTGTCTTCGCTTTCTCAGGTACTGTTACTCCTGAAGGAAGGTTATACAGTTTTGAAAGAGTTTGACGTGAAATGTCAACATGGAAAACATCTTGAATCAAGAATAAAAGTCGGTATAAATTATAGTTTAGTTTATTTTTCTAATATATTCATCAAAGTTAAAAATTACTTACTGGTACTGCTGTAACACAAGACCCACAAGAATATTCAGGTTCAGTGGCCAAGTAATGTTAGTCTTATTTAGGACATACTCCAATCGAATAGCGAAAGGCCTCAGAGCAAGATATAGATATGTCTAAGCAAAATGTAAGGGGAAAAGATTTTTATATTCATGATTGATTATCAAGATTCATGGTTACAAATTAGACATTCCATTTTACCTAGAAATAAGTTTTTAAATCTATTTTGGTTCAAATTTACTTGGAAATATATATAAGGCGAACCGATTCTTGATGTAATCACCAAGTATTTCAACTTGTATGCACTTTGCGCCCCCCCCCCCATCCCCCTCCCGAAAAAGACTGTAATGCAGTGTAAATCCCTTAATACCAAAGTCACATGCAATCGAAACATTCTGATTTTTACCGTACCATATTTAACAGTTTCATTATCTATTGTGTCTGTTAAGTCACTTTGTCTAGAAGAAGAAGAATTATTTTAATACTGTGTTATGTTATTAAGAGAAATTCCTCTTTGTTACTCATGTAGTTTCTATTTTTTTTTTTTTTTCAGGACTTTGAATCCGTAGGAACAAAGCAATGTTTCAGTAGATCTCTCTCTCAAAAAAAAATGTTCTTTAAAATCCATAATGTATGAAAACTTTTATTTGCTTTTCTATATTCTAAATAAAGTCAAATATTCACCTCTGATTTCGTATGTTGATTGTATTTGAGATACCTGTATTAAGGATTGGAACAACTTAAAATGGAAGAGGCAAAATGTTACCATGTATTTAACAATGAAAAAGGTGAAGATTACGAACAGTGATCGATCTATAAAAAAAATCATACAAACAATATAAATCTGTAAACAGGGCATTAAAATTTTTAAACAAAATAATTTTGCGTATAACCAATCACAGGATATAAAATTTACACATAAAAGTTCCATTTTCATTGAAGAGCCAATTGTCTATGATATCAAAAAGTATAGTTTTTAATTTATTATCGGGAATGGTACATTAAGTGTAAAATCCGTTTCATTTTCATATGTTAAAGTATATATATAAGGTCATGGAAAGTCATTTAGTACATGTATATGAGTTTTTAAAAGTGAAAAAATAAGACCGTTTATATATATATATATAAAAAGAAGGTTTTTTAGAAACGAAAGGAATAAATGAGGTTTCATAAAAATACTGTCATTAGATTATAAGGGCTCAGTCACACCTTACTGGATTTCACTACAATAAGGGATGTCAAATGGATGAAGAAACGGGGACAAAACGCACTTCGTTGGTGAAATACTGCTTAAAAATTGCCTATTGAAATGTTTGCGATCGACGCATGAAACATTTAAAACAAACAAAAATCTTTCGAATGTCGGACATATACCTTACAAGCAACAGTCAACTAACGGACTTCACGTTTTCCCGTAACGATTAAGTAACGAACGCGCAACGCATGAAAACGGTCAACGAACGCACGGTCGGTGTCAGGAGCACGTCCAGTTCATCAATATTGGTAATTAGGTCCAACGGAAATCAACGTAAGCAGACTGTACAAGTGCAGGAAAAGAAGGGCAGGAATTCCATACAAAACGCAAGCAAACCGATACCTATTTTCAACTGGCATACCGTACTTGAAGCGGACGCACTTGTCTGATGGTGCTGGTTCCAAGTTTTGAACATGCTCAAACCAGCAAACTTTTCCGGACATGACGTATTCACTGAATAAGAAACGTGCGGACAGAGACGAACGGATTGAAAATTTTGCCATCCGTTCGACGTCCATTATGGCTATCCCGTAAGGTGTGATTGTGCCCGAAATGTGATAAAAGCATTGAAGAATTGAATAAAGATAATCTTAGAATTAGAGATATCATGTTTCGTATCCCGATTTGAAAAGAACTTGAGTTTTTCTTTTTTATCTTAACAATGTATCTTATTAGACAACTTGAAAATGATTTTTTTTTCTACATATGGACACACTTTCTCTGGGTGGAATCTATAAACATGCCGTTCTTTAAATCAACAATAAATGGATATCTGATGGTTTTACACTACGCTAT